TCATCATCATCATCATCATCATCATCATCATCATCATCATCATCATCATCATCATCATCATCATCATCATCATCATCATCATCATCATCATCATCATCATCATCATCATCATCATCATCATCATCATCATCATCATCATCATCATCATCATCATCATCATCATCATCATCATCATCATCATCATCATCATCATCATCATCATCATCATCATCATCATCAGTATCAGCATCAGCATCATCATCATCATCATCATCATCATCATCATCATCATCATCATCATCATCATCCTTCTCCATCTCCTCCTCCTCCCCCTCCTCCTCCTCCTCCTCCTCCCCCCGTTTCTCCTCCTCCTCCAATGTTGAGACTAGGGCGCACACTAGACAGTACAGTAGGGGCTCGTCCACAAGCAACCCTCCACCAGAAACCCAACCCTGAGACCCCAGGACGTCCATCGATGTTTCGTGTGGGAACGTCACGCGTTCCACCGCAAAACCATCGAAACCCCAGAAACCCAGGGCGCCCTGGAGGCAAGCACGGTGTTTCTTGGCATGGGTCTCCACTGTGGAGAGAGCAAGTCAGAAAAGCACCATGTCGAAAGCAGAAAGGAAGAGAGCACAGGAGGCCACATTGATCATCCTTGCCCTCTCGCACGCCACCAGCGCACGGTTCCACTTCTTCGCAAGTGCGCGCAACCGATGTGGGTTTCCTTTCCAACCGATATGGGTTTTCTTTCCTGTAGTTCTTCCAAACATGCGACTCGAACGCGTGAGGAGGGATGAGATACGCAAGGTTGAGAGACAGGCGGGAAGGGGCGGAAAGGGAGGAGGAGGAGGAGGAAGATGGAGAATGAGGGAGGCGGGAGAAGAAGGAGGAGGAGGATGAGGAGGGAGGAAGGGGGGTGGGGGTAGATGTCCTGCAACGAGGAGGAGGTGAGGAGGGGGTGAGGGGAATAGGATAGGGTCATATTAATATGAGCTGAAGAACTACATGGTTTGTGTCACCGGCGATGCGATGACAGTACCCAGTTTTCTTTCGAAAAAATACTGGGTACAATGATCTGTTTCAAAGACTGTATGGTTTGTGTGACTGGCGATGCGATGACACTACCCAGCTTTCTCCCGAAACGTAAAGGCATCCCCACGTACGCCTGTAGCTCGGCCGATTTCAATGACGTCTGCTGCAGCTGCGGCTCCGCTCAACAAGAAACTTGAGAAGTGCCTGGCAATAACTGGAGCCACCAAGGTTTCGGACACGCAGGGGAAGAGGAGGGACAGAGTGAGAGAGAGTCTCAGGAAGCGAGAGACAGACGCCAAGATTAACACATCGCCGTCATCTGTCGTAACGGCTCTGGGGCGGGCACGAATCGAAAAACGCGGTCGCAACCTGTCCAAAGAGGAAGCGAATAGCCAAAAACCGTCGTAACAAATTCGCGTGGGGGGGGGGTAGAGGAAGTGCGGCAAAGAGGGGAGGAGGGAGGGAAGAGAGCGAGGAGGGAAGGAAAGGGGGGGAGGGAGGGAGCCAGGAGGACGGAGGGAAGGGGGAGGGGAGGAAGGATAGGGGCGGGACCCACACCCCCGACGTCGTGATTGTTTCACAATGTCGACCCCCAAAGGTCGGACCCCTCCCCCGTGACCGGTTTTCCCGTCTGAGCCGTTTCCTGACGCCCCCGGGGCCCGGCAAGGGCCCCCAAAGGGCCGAAAATTGCGGAAAACCTCCCATCGTGACTTCTTGACAGCGCGAGGGGGTCTGCGCTTCCCTTGGGGAACAAACAATGGTATGAACAACAACTGGTGGAGGTCCGCGCGGATTTCTTGGATCGGCGCCGCTGGACCCCTCGCTGGCGCGCGGAACGCGCCGTGGGCGGCGCTGGAGGCGCCGCCAGGGTGCTCCAGCGCAGATCTGATCAATTCGCGCGGACCTTCGACAGCTTGTGCTCATGCCATTGCTATTGTTCTCCGAAGAACGCACGCCGCGGCCGCGAGGGGAGGAGGACGTCCTGCAGCGCCCCGGCATGGGGTCCAACTGCTGAGTCGTTCTTCCTCCTGAGTCGTTTTCTGACGGAGGGAGGTAGGGGAGGGCAGGGGAGCGAGGGGAGGGAGGAGGGGAAGAGGGGGGGGGAGGGGAGGGGAGGGAGGAGGAGAGGGGAGGGAGGAAGGGAGGGGAGGGAGGGAGGAGGAGGGGAGGGAGGAGGTCCCTGCAGCGCCCCGACATGGGGTCCAGCTGCTTCATGTCGACGAGGAAGATCTCCAGCGGCGCCGCGGCCGCGGTGCTCCGCAGTCGCACCCGGGAGGCGCCCTCCCGCCACGCCTTCTCGATGTGGTGCGACTGGCTCACGGAGTACCTGCGGGGGGGGGGGGGGGGCTCTCCTCCTGAGAGGAGGGGCTTTCCCTCCCTCCCTCTCCTCCCTCCCTTTCCTCCTCCTCATCCTCCTCCTCCTCCTCCTGCTCCACTCTCCTCCTCCTCCTTCTCCTCCTCCCTCCTCCTCCTCTACTATCCTCTCTCCTCCTCCTCCTCCCTCCCTCCCGCCCTCCCTCCCTCACCTCCCCTCGCCTTCCCTCCCCTCCCCTCCCCTCCCTCCCTCCCTCCCTCGAGGAGAGGAGGAAAACCTCCCGGACTTCGCACAGGCACAGTCTGCTGTGCAGTGCCTCGGGGAAGCCATCCGCAAGCTCACCGAGACACTCCACGTCGGACCCGGTCGCGCCAACCGGATACCTCGGGAGCAGGCTCGGAGCTCTAAAGGGGCCCCAGAGCACGCACACACACACACACACAAGTAAATACACACAAATGATGAAGTATTCCCCAATTTTCTCATATATTTTGGGGCTTTTCGTCTTCCCCCCTCCCACATCCCATCTGCTCCCACATTTTCGGGGGAATCGACGATGAATTGTGTCTGCGTGTTTTTTTCCCTCCTGAAGTACGACGAGGAAGGGTTGGACAGGCATGGAGCAGCCCTTAACCTGGAGGAAGAATTGGGTCCAAGCTACCTCCAAAGCCCTGCTGGGGCTCGCTGGAATTCAGCATTCTGCGGACGCCCGTGAAATCGCCGAAACGCGAAGGGAGCTTAGCTCAACCTTGCCCCGTCTCGCACTGGAGCTCCAGGAGGCGCCAGTTGAATTCAGGACCTATTCTTCCTTGATTGGCATTTTGTTCCAAGCAACGGCCTACGTGAGTGCGCTCGCAATCGACGACAGGTATGGCCGTCTAGACCTAACTGCCTCTACACAGGCCCTGGACACCTTCCTGGCAGAGGTCGAGGAGACGATCAAGCAGGAGAGAGGGTTGTCTGGGACCTCCCACACCAAATCCTGGAAGGAATGTGTGCGTCAGGCAATGGGCCTGGAGACTGGATGGGCTCACAGGTGGAGTAAAATCAAAGACCATTGGAGGCCTGTCGACACTGGAGGTGATCTAAAATAACCAACAAGACCCACGCAGCTTCTAGAGAAAGAAGGCCGTCGCCTAGAATCTCTATGGCGTTCAAAGAAGGGACCTCAGGAACTATTTCAAACCCCATAATGTAGCTGGAGGTCTCTCCCGGACATCGCCCCCCGCGACATCATCCAGGCAGCGAAAACTTGTTCAAATAAGACGGCGCAAGCATGGGACGGCTTCCACCCGCGCCACCTATTACTCTTCGACACGGATCCATTAAGCTGCGTAGCCAAGTTGTTCCGCATCATTGAACAATTGGGATCACGCCGTCCCCGATCCATGCAATTATTACGAAGCTAATTCTCAAGCACAAGCCAGATCAAGTAGGCTTGAGCTGTCGAGGAATCGGTTTACTTTCCAGTCGATATCGTGTTCATGCCAGGGTTAGGCATGACGTCTCGCGGACTTGAGAAGCACCGCACCTCGGCAAAATGATGGGCCACCAAACCGGCCGCTCCATCATGGAAATGGTGTTCATTCAAAATTGACGGGCAGAATCAGCAGCCCTAGAATCGGTACATATGCATTCGGGGTGCTTCCTGTGGGATTTGAACAAGTATTGCGAACACGTGGACAATCATCTCCGATGTGACCGTGCAGAGCAGCAGGGATATCCATTAGCAGTCTTGGCTCTGGTATTGAACCAGTACCCAAGGCGTGGATTTTTGGGGTATTCCAGATTGTGCAATACACGGTCACTTCCAAGGATTGGCGTGGCCGCAGGGTGCTCTTTCGCAGCGTACCTTATTCAGGTGTTCTCTTTGCCACCGCTGAGGGCCTGGAGCTCCAGCAACCCTGAGATATACCTCACCGTGCTCATCGACGATTTCCCTGTAATGTTTTCGTACGTCTGCTTTCGCGACTCTGGCCAACAGGCCCACTCATGCAGCTGCTGGCCTCGCCCATCTCATAGCATGGGCAACGAAGTGCGGAGTCGCAGTGCACAAATCTTCGGCTGTGGCCAAGTCCCCTGAAGCCAAGGCAATGTTGACGGCCAGCTTAGGGAAATGCGCAGGAACGCACTCGGGCCCATCAGCCAGCAACCTGGGAATCGATGTTTACGCGGGCGGCTTGCGTTCCAAAGGTGGCACCACGCTCAAGCTGCAGAGCCGGCTGCAGGCATGAAGCAAACTCAAGAGAACGCTTTACGCCTTGCAGAAAGCAGGGGTCATCATGGAAGAGATGTTCCTGTCGGGACTCCAACCGTTCGGATTTCACAGCTCCGAAGTGGCAGGAGCTAGCAATCCCGAGCTTGCCAAGGCCCAGCACGAACATTTGAGCATCGCTGGATCTCCAGCAACCAGTAGATCAAGGGCAGTCGCGCTCATGCCCTTAGACGACCCCCTGTGGAGGCAAGGGCTCGGGCCAGCGCTATCTCGGTCGTCAGTTGTCTGGAGCGCGGCCACAAAAGGTCGAATCAGTTACGGAGGCAACTTCATGAACCGACTTGTCCGAATTAGCGCAGCCCGTGCTCCAGCACTTGCCGCAAAACTGGTCCTCCGTTCGAGGCCCTCTGGGTGCAGCTCATCTGTCTCTGCAGCGAATTGGCTGGGCATCTGACGGCCCGTTCAAGCACGTCACTTCGGGAGTGAAGACGTGCAGCTTGACGGACACGTCCCCGTGCATGGCCCAGCGTCTCATGCAGAAGCAATGGAGGGATCAGACTACAGCACTCGCCGCTTGTCGTCTGAAGCTCCCGGGTGACAGAACCGAGCCTGGTGTTGCACGAGATGTGCATGCTTTATCGTCCCTTTGCAATCACACTCGGGCGCTCTTGAAAAGCGTCCTGTCTCAGACGCTCTGAAGTCGAAGCCGGCAGTACTGTCTGGGACATGATGTAGATATGGTTTGCCCTTTGTGCGGGGCCCGCTCGGATAGCACATATCACAGGCTATGGGAGTGCAAGTGCACGGAGGAGCTGAGGAAGGAGTGGATTTCTCAGGATACGCGGGATGTCTGGTTCCACCCGGACCTCAAACAGCACTAGCTGTCAGGCTTTCGCTGTGTCCCCGCGACTCCCTGTGTCGCTCCGCCGGGGCTCGGACATGAAAACTGTGAGGCGTGGACTCGCACAGGGGATGACATACAGGACGTCTTCCGCGATGAAGTCTTCATAGACGGATCATGCTTCAACGAGGGAACGAAGCGGTATCACAGGGCAGGCTGGGGAATGTCCAAAATCTCCCCACGCGGCGATCTGCCAGGCCGCCTTCTCGGACGGGTTGGGGCTCAGCTCCCACAAACGTCCCCGGCAGGTGAGCATATTTCAGCACTGGCTGTCACCAACCACCGCCCCAATGCTAAGATAGCCGATTCGGACTATGCGGGAGTAGCTGAGATGCATGCAGAATCCAGGCATTCGAACCTCAATGGAAAAAGTTAGCATGCAGGTCTGCACCTGCAGGCTTTGTGGTCCCGAAGGTGAAGGCTCATGTGGACCCTGATTCGGTGCCGCATCTCTATCCCGAGTGGCTTCAGGCCACAGGCAACCACGGAGCTGACGCAGCTGCGAAAGCAGGTGCGCCCTTACATAGCGCCCCCAGCTCGGCAGAAATATTGGCACGGGAAGCTCAGGGTACAACCCTGAAATCGTTCTTGCAGTATGTGCCGTGTGCTCTTTCCTTTTGACCTTGCCCCCCTGAGGGGAAGCTGGCCCGAGTGAGGCTGGCGCGAATTCAAGAGAGTGGAGGCTACCTCGTGGACGTGCTCGGGCCACATGCCCCTGAGCACCTCGTCCGTCGTCAAATGATGTTGGGGGAGCCTGGAGCCATCGGAGGAGGAGGAGGAGGGACAAGAGCGAGGAGCGAGGAGCGAGGAGCGAGGAGCGAGGAGGAGCAGCGAGGAGGAGGAGGAGGAGGAGGAGGAGGAGGAGGAGCAGCGAGGAGGAGGAGGAGCGAGGAGGAGGAAGAGGAGGGGGGGAGGAGAACGAGGAGGAGGAGGAGGAGGGCAAGACAGGAGAGACCTCCTCACCCTCCTGAAATACAAATGCCTCCGCAGACTGCGAAGCAGCAACACGAGTGGCGGTGGAGAGAGGAGGGTCGCTGCTGGACCTGCCTGCACTGCCAAAGGAAAAGCACCAGATCAAGGGTTGAGCCCTTCCAGCCCCTCGGCCCCTTCGTCCTCCCTCCTCCTCCTCTTCCTCTCGAGGGTTGTGCTGGTGCTTCTCCTATTCTCCGGGCCCTGTTTCACAATCAGCTGAATCACTCTTTGCATCTTACAGAGCACCCCATTGGGATCCTGATTATATGTAGAGCCTGCGGCTGTTACTCCGAAGGAGCCCGCGCCGTAGGCCTGGAATCCAGGTGCCTTCCTGCACGCGATTCCTGGAGAGCCCAAACCAACTGGAACAGAGCATTGAACGGCCAATCTCCCAACTACAGATGCGGGAACGGCACTATAATGGGAGAGCTTCTCACGTTTAGCGCTTTGCTCCAGCTTCGCGAAGAGTTGGTGCACCCTGAGAGTCAGGGGAGCCGCCATGGAACGGCTCCTCGGGAGAGTCCTGGCTCAATCGCGGGGCTGCCACTTGGGGACACCCACTCCCCGGAGCGCACCCGAACCCGAGGCCAGTAGCTTCATTATTTGGGCGGGGCTGGGGCAAAACACGACGAGCCCGCTCACTCGCACGCCGTGCTGCTGGCACGTGCTGGGACGTGCTGCTGGCAGGGAGAGGGCGCTGGAGGGGGGGGGCAAAGGCGCGGGCCCCAGCGCGCAACTCCTGCGGAGGGGCGGTGGGGAGGGAGCCTGGGCCAACATCCTGCTCCTGGCCTCATGCACTCTTCCTCCTCATGCCGCTCCCTTTCCCTCCCCCACCCCCCGATGCTCCTCCCTGCTGATCCATGCGTCCCCTCTCCTCCTCCTCCTCCTCCTCCTCCTCCTCCTCCTCCTCCTCCTCCTCCTCCTCCTCAATCCTCCATCCTCCTCCTTATCACCATCACCATCACCATCACCATCACCACCACCACCACCAACACCATGATCATCATCATCCTCACCATCATCATCATAGTCATCATCATCATCATCCTCACCATCGTCGTCGCCATCCTCGTCATCAGCGGCATCATCATCCTCATCGTTAACAGCAACAACCTCATCCTTATCATCACCATCGACAACACCATACTCACAATCATCACCAACATCATCATCATCATCATCATCATCATCATCATCATCATCATCATCATCATCCTCATCACCTTCATCATCCCCAGCGATATAACCATCATCTACCTCATCATCAACATCGTACGTCATCCTCATCCTCACTGTCATGATCATGATCATCAGCATCAGCATCATCAGCATCATCATTTTCATCCTCGTCATCCTCATCAGCATTATCATCATCGGCGTCGTCATCACCACCATCATCATCATCATCATCATCATCATCATCATCATCATCATCATCAGCATCCTCACATGCATCATCATCAACATAACAGCCACCATCATCCTCACCGTACGCCTCCCCATCCTCCTCCTCCACCTGCTCCTGAGTATCATCATCCTCATCCTCATCGTCATCGTCGTCGTCATCATAAGCAGCATCAGCATCGTCATCACCATCATCGTCATCACCATCACCTTCATCAGCATCAGGATCATCACCATCATCATCATCATCATCATCATCATCATCATCATCATCATCATCATCATCATCATCATCATTATCATCATCATCAGCATCATCGTAATCCACATCAACGGCATCAACATCATCATCATCATCATCATCATCGTCGTCGTCAATACCACCATCTTCAACATCATCATCATAGCTAACAGCAACCTCATCATAATCAGCAATAGCATTGCCATCATAATCCTCATCATCATTACCCTCCTCCTCCTCCTCCTCCTCCTCCTCATCGTCATCATCTTCATCATCACCGTCAGTATCATCACCATCATCAGCATCCTCATCAGCATCCTCATCCTCCTCATCCTCACAGTCTTCATCATCAGCAACATCATCATCCGCATCCTCCTCATCATCTTCACTTCATCATCACCAGCAGTGCCATCATCATCATCATCATCATCATCATCATCATCATCATCATCATCATCATCATCATCATCTTCCCCATCATCACCGTGATCATCATGATAACCAACATCATCATCAACAACGTCATCATCATCATCATCATCAGCAGCAGCATCAGCATCAGCATCATCGTCATATCTCCTTCACGTTGTCCCTCCTCCCTCCCCTCCTCCCTCCCCTCCTCCCTCCACCACTCACCTCTCCTCCCCCTCCTTCTCCTCGCTCACTCCCGTCCTCCTCTATCTCCCATCTCCTCTTCCCTTGCCTCTACATCCTTCTCATCATCCATCCTCCTCCTCCATCACCCGGCAGAAAGGATGCGGCGGCAGGGGAAAACTGAGGGGAAGACGCGAGGGTAAGGCGGTCTGGCGGCGACGAGAAAGGAGAGGAGTAGGAGGAGGAGAGGAGGGAGGAGGAGGAAGGTAAGGAGGAACAGCGGTGCACCTGGGGTAGAGGACTGATAGACAGCAAGCGTGCAACGTGACTGATCGACAAGCAACTGGTTGATGCGGAGGGGGGGGGATTCTATCCAGGACACCGAAGTCCTGGCCGTGGATGCCGGCGGAGACGAGGACGCGGGGAGGAGGAAGAGGCGGAGGAAGGCCGAAGGCGGAGGCCAGGAGGGAGGGGAAGGCCCGTGGACGCGAGGGCGCAGCTGCACGCGCCTCGGGCACACGCCGACGTGCACTATAGGCATCCGTGGGTCCGGCGCGGGGGGCGCCGGACCCACGCCTCGGCGAAGGCAGCCCCGGAGCACACCGAGGGGGAGCGCCGCCCGATCCGGCGACGGGGCGCGCCGACTCTGCCTGGAAGCGGGGCGCGTCGCAGATCCACGCGCCTCGGTCGAGGGCTCTTTACAGGCTGCCTCTCGACGAGCACAGCGTCGGAGGCCTGGAAATTGGCACCAACACCAAGACAGGGGGGTGCCTCCACAGGGGGAGGGTGATCCTGGATTCTCGGTGTTGGTGGTAATAGTTCGGCCACCTTGGAAGCCGGAAAATATTACCACCATCGCCGAGATCGGGATCTTCTTCCGTCGGTGGAGGCACACCGCCGAAAAATTGGTGCTGGCGTCAATCTCCAGGCCTGCGGCAGCGGGGCCGAAGGGCTCTCCAGCCGCGGGGCTCTCCGGGGCTCTCGCTGCAGCCGGGGGGGGGCTCCGGCCGTGGGCCGAAGGAGGGCTCTCCGGCCCTGCCTCGGATGAGCACGGAGCAGCACGAGCATACCCCGGATTCCATCACAAAGTGGGGGGGGTCACATTCGGGGGGGGGGGGTCGAATTCGAGCTGTCTTGGAGGGTTCGGGGGGGTCTGGGCAAAGGACCGCCCTTTCATGTATAGTCTGGGGGGTCTAAGACTTCTCGTCTGGGAGGGTTGTGACCCCCTCCCTTTTATTACAAAATCTGGAGTACAATTTGGGAGGGCCACGCGGATCTCTTGGATCGGCGCTGGATCCCCAGCGCGCCAGGGGCGGCGCTGGAGGCGCCGCCAGGGGTGCCCAGCGCCGCTCTCAGAAAGCCGCGCGGAGCTCAGAGAGCGTGGGCTTACGCAGTTTGTCGTTCTTCGAACGTTCGCGCTGCATCGGGTTTGCACGTTCGTTTCCCGGGCACTGGCCCCAGTCCCCGTTGGAGCGCTGCCACTCCCACGTGAACTCCGTGCAGGTGTTGTCGTCGGTGTCGCCGTGGGAGATCGCCGCCTGGACGGTCTTGTGCAAAGAAGGAGCGGAGAGGAGAAGAGGATGAAGATAAAGATGTGTCGGCGATGCGATCCACAACTCGCTGCCAGAGCATACACACAAAACGCACACGTATCCGTCGGTCGGAAGAAGTGGGCAGAAACATGAAGTAGGAAAGCGTTGGAAGTAGATTGGGCTTCCGCCCGCCCCCTGAAGAGGAGAGAATGGGGAAGACCACTCGATCCTTGAAGTAGGAAGGCGCCTACAGTAGAATGGGATCTGGGAATCGAGACATACCTACTTCCAACGACCGAATGGCATCGTGTATTGGAGGAAGGAGCTCCGTACAGATGGAGAAGAACCGAACAATAAGGGCGACGTGACACGGAGGCCGCCCATCGGGAAAGCTGGTCCAGGGTGCGGGCGAGGCGATGCTTTGCAAGGGCGGTGCTTCTTCAGAGGCCACTCATGCTACATCGTCTTCGCCCCACGTCTCCGCTGAATGTTTCTCGGCAATGCCTCGCGACCGTCCTGCGGTTTGCTGTGTTTTTTCCATGTGCCTGGTGCGTGCTTCCTGGCTGTCCCCAAGACTGTCCCGTGGGCCTGCGGTTGCCCCCCTGTGGTTGTACCGCGACTGTCGTGCGGTTGCTCCTGCGGCTGTTCTTGTTTTACGACGTGGTTGAGTGATCGGTAGGGTGGCCAAGTATGTCCAGGCCCAAAAACTTAGAAGGGCAATTCACTCTGTGAATGGTTCGAGGAGTTCCAAGAGTGAGTTCCAAGTGTCCTCGGAGTTGGAAGAGTTGGCCGAGCATGTCGAAGCCAAAAAACTTAGAAGGGCTATTCACTCTGTGAATGGTTCGGGGAGTTTCAAGAGTGAGTTCCAAGTGTTCTCGGAGTTGGAAGAGTTGGCCGAGCATGTCGAAGTAAAAAAACTTAGAAGGGTAATTCACTTTGTGAATGGTTCGAGGAGTTTCGAGAGTGAGTTCCAAGTGTCCTCGGAGCTGGAGAAGAGTCCGCAGGGTCAGAGTGGCCACGAGGCGACCGCGTCCAGGCACACGGTGGGAAGCTGGCGAAACCCCAACATGCCCACCCCAATTCCAGCAAGAAGGCGCATGTACAAGCACTGCGATGTGTATATATACATTTTGTGAACAAATATATATACACACTACGTGTGCAGGTATATGTATGTACGTGTATATATATAGGTATAGATGTATACATGTTGTGCACATAAAGGTATTACGTGCGCAGGTATATTCATGTACATCTATAACATCGAACGGCCACTCATTGCTCCCGGGTGCGTGGCAGGAATGGGGTTCCATCCAACGGACTCCGCCTGTTGTGCTGTGCTGTTGTTGTCGTTGCTGCTGCTGCTGCTGCTGTTGTGGTTGTTGCTACGTTGTCGTCTTCCTCATGCGCGACCCGCCCCGCGACCAACCCGCGACCCACCCCGCGTGCGCCCCCATCACTCTAATCCGCAATGGCTGGGTGCTCCGTGTACACACCTCTCGTGCAACAGAGATGTGAAGGAAGAGGTAGGAAGTGGGGGTCCGCGGAGCGTATTGTTGTTGCCTGTGCTTCTGAATTGGTATCGTCGTCCCTTCCCACGGCATACCCGCGACCAAAGCGCAACCCACCAACCACCGCGGCGACCCATCCCGCGACCCAGCCCATGACCCATCTCGCGACCCATCTCGAGACCCACCCGCGACCCACCCGCGACCCACCCGCGCCCCGCCCTGCGACGTGTCCACGCACCCACTGTGTTTCGACCAAAAGATCGGCGCCTGCAGAAACCAGAGACGAAGGGTCCACCCATAATGGATCAATAGTGCAATACGCAATACACAAACCTGGGCAAGGGATGCGGGGGGAGAGACGCAGGAGAAGGACGAGGAGGTGCCGCACGGCCAGTACCGACAGAGCAAGCAAGACAAGGTCGGGCGCAATGGCGGCGGCAAGGGCGATACCGGAAGGGGCGAGTGGCAAGGCAAGACGGGAAGCGCAGGTGCAGCAAACAGAGACGGGAGAGAGATGGTGGGCCACCGGAAGAGGACACACACACAGACACACACATAGATGTGTGTATATATGTATATCTATATATACACACGACGTATAGTCGGAACACACACACACATTACACACATACACGCACGCACGCACACACACGCACACACGCACCCACACCAAAAGCCTGACAGAGATGGGTCTACCGTGGGGCGCGTTCCTGGTGCCCCCCGCATGGGATTTGAATACATCTGGCAGCCGCTCCTTGGCACCCCTCTGGGCCTCCTGGACCTCACGGAGACGCTCGGGCAGCCCAAAAGAACACCCAGAGGCCCCAAGACGCCCCGAGAAGGCATCAAGAAAATCAGCTCTCACTGGCTGGTGGAGATACGCGAAGCGTGAAGCATTTGGATCGATCCTGTAGCCGCTCCTTGGCGCTCCCTGGGCCTCCTGAACCTCACGGAGACGCTCGGGCAGCGCAAACGAGCTCCCAAAGAACCCTAACATGGCTCCAGAACGTTACAGGAGGAGCGTAAGACGGCCGAGCGGGCCCCCAAGACGGCTCAAGGTGGCACCAGGGTTGCGCCAAGGTAGCTTCAAGGTGCTCTAAGACGGCTCCGCGCAGCTGCCCCGAGAAGCAACAGCATACAATCATAATCAATGCTGGGCGTTCGCACCTTATCCGCCTTCTCTACGCTTCAGCTCCAGATGGCTCCAGGAAGGGTCCCAGAGGCTTCCAAGAAAGCCCCGAAGGCCGACGTAGGACCCGGAGAGAAAGCAGGCCCGCCCAAGCTGCCACCAGAACTGCCTCCAAGACGGCACCAGCATGGCTCCAAGAAGGCCCAAGAGGTGTGCGGCTGGATCGTGCTGGAGCTCTGGAGGACTCCTTAATCCTGGCAAGGAACCCCCGGGCTGGCCTAGCGCGGAGCGCTCGGCCCACCTCCGAGCCCAGACCCCCGACGTCATGATTTTTTTCATCACGCGACCCCCAGAGGTCCGGACCTATTCGCCGGGACCGGTTTTTCATCCTGAGCTGTTTTTTGACGGTCCCGAAGGCCGGCAAGGGCCCCCAGAGGCGGAAAATATAGAAAAACTTTCCGCCGTGATTTTTTCATGACTCGAGGGGGTCCGGGAGGAGGGCGCCCACAGAGCCTGAATCCACGCCCAACGTCCGGAGAGGCCCGCGTGGACTCCTTGGACCGGCGCTGGGCCGCCCTGGCGGCACCTCGAGCGCCGGCCCTGGCGCGCTCCGCGCGCCGGGGAGGGGAGGAGGAGGAGGAGGAGGAGGAGGAGGGAGGAGGGAGGAGGAGGAGGAGGAGGAGGAGGAGGAGGAGGAGGAGGAGGAGGAGGAGGAGGGGGAGGAGGCGGAGGAGGAGGAGGAGGAGGAGGGGGAGGAGGGGGAGGACGAGGAGGAGGAGGAGGGGGAGGAGGAGCCAGTGCCGATCCAAGAGCTCCGCGTGGCCCTGCGCGAGTGCAGGCAGCCTGCCGTGCTGTGCTCCTCCAGGGCAGGGCCGGGGAGCACCCTCCGGCCCACAGGGGCGTGGGGCTGCTCGGCGACGCGAGGCAATCGGCTGCGGCTGGAGCAACAAACGAGGACAATCTTAAGAATGTGCCCTCAGAAACCGAGGGAATCCTCAAGATCGGCATCGGGGTGGGGTGCTGCCAGACACAGGCATCGCGATGTGCTCCAAACTGCCAAACTGGTAAAACTGTGGGCCACGGGGTTCTCCAGCCCTTCCTCGGAGGAGCACAGGGCGACATTAACAAAAACTTTCGGAGCTTCGCGCGGAGTTCTGAGCGGCGCGGGCGGCGCCGCCACGGGGGGCCCAGTGCGGATCGGGGAAGTCCGCACGGAGCTCCGACATGTCACGGTTTCAAAGGAACAAGCAATGACGTAAGCCTAAAAGCTCGGAGGTCCGAGCAAGTTTCTCGGATCGGAGCTGGAGCCCCCGGCGGCGCCGCCCCTGGCGCGCGCTCCGCGCGCCAGGGAGGGGGGTCCAGCGCCGATCCGAACAATCCGCGCGGACCTCCGAGTTTTCATGCTTACGTCATTCTTTCTCCCCCTGGGTTTGTCACGCGTTCTCATCTTCGGCTCGCCGCCCTCTCTGGATGGTTCCAGCAGAGTGCTGGTCGGTCCTGGCGTGCGGGCCGCCGGGTCGCCCCCGAGAGGCTGGCTCTGGGCATGGCTGGGGAGACGGCGAAGACGGGGCGGCACATTTTGCCGGCGCCGCCCGACCGCCGGTGCAGCAGTTCTGACGCGCCGCCGACGGATTCTTGTTTGCCGGCGCCCGCCTCTGGAAAAGGCATTCGATGTGTTTTTTGGTTTGTTTTGTTTTTGTTGTTTTTTGTTGTTCTCTCTCTCTCTCTGTGTAATTATTCGTAATAATATTACTAGTCCTGTTGTTATTACAGTACTCCCCACATCCTAAGTGGGTCTCTTGTTTTCTCTGCACACCCCCCGCGCAGGAACACACCTTCTCCTCTTCTCTAATCGCACACTCATTCACTCAATCACTCCCCCACACACATTCACACTCACTCACCCACTCACACATTCACTCACACACTCATCATCGTCACTCATTCACGCACTCACCCATTCACTCACCCACCTAGTCACTCACCTACTCACCCACTCACTCACCCACTCCCCCACGCACTCACTCAACCAGTCACACACTACCACCCACCAACACGCACACACACACACCCATGCCGTCATCAGCAGCTTCATCGGCATCATCATCATCATCCTCCCTCACTCACCCACTCACTCAGTCACTCACCCACTCACACCCAAACTTGAGGAAGTATCAAGCGAGAGCCTCGTCTGCTAATGAATTGCGAGGAAGTCTCAGGTGGGAGCCCCCTCCCTATGGGGCCCGCAGCTCACGTATTTCATCCAAGGTGGGTCATCGGAATCCTGCAACTGTCGTCACTTTTGGGCTCCTGAAGCCTGAGTATGGAGGAAGTATCACGCGAAAACCTCGTCTGTGATTGAATTG